CGCTGCCGGCAGCCTCTGAGCCTGCCAGCTCCAGCCGCACAGGTGGTCTCGGAAATCATGCGTACACACCTACCTGTGGACATGCGTACTTAATACATTTAATATATTTTCATATACTTTAACACTTTAATGTGTTTTAAGGTTTTATAGATTTCGTGTTATGTATCTTTATTTCTATATTTTAGCTATTTTTGTTATTTATATATGTGAAACTAAATGCCCGTGTTAGGTGCTGGGTATGTATAAGCCATCAGTTGCCTCTCTCTGTTTGAACTACGCATGGTTAGGGTGAAATACATCACGGTCATACGCTTTAAATGCACAGGGGGTGGACCAGAGCCAGCTCCCACAGCTCCAACAGGAGGGTGGCTGCAGGAAATGCCGCGCAGTTCCCTGTTATCTGCCGCCTTATCTCCTTCTGCCTACCTGGGAGGTGTGGCGGGAATTTTAACCTTTCACAGAGGGACTCCTCACCCAGGGCAAGTGTGCCCATTTGGCTCAAGCATGTAGAGCGTGGACTGAGTCAAACTGTGCAAGGCATGCGGACGCTGAACTTTTGGAATGTCTTGAACTGATTTTGGCCAAACTGACTTTTTTTTTTTAATGAAATCAGTGCCGTTTTCTCGTGTAAGGAAGACCAGAGAAAGACCTGATTTGGCTTTGAGAGGTGCTGACAGGAGAGCGCAGAGCGGGGAGAACAGAACATCGGGCAGAGCTGATAGGGAGAGAGACGATACGGTGACTGAACTTGGGTGTCCTCATTTGGACTCTCCCTTTAAAAAAACAACAGATATTGCTAATTCATTTCCTAAGAACAGCCTGGATAGAGAGCCTTAGGAAAGAAGTAGGGTACCACTGGGTTTTTATTTAATGTCCTGTTCTGCCAGTAGCGGAAAGGCAGCTGTAGTAATTTTGCCCAGTGGAGAGATATTAGCGCTGAAAGGCAAGTGTGAGAGAGAGATTTTCAACAGCAGCAGTCCGTCCCTGCGCAGTTCCCTGAGCGTGGCAGAGGGGAGCCATAGCAATAATCTTCTGTAACATTAGCTCTCCCTTACCAGGTCTGTGGCGTTAGGCATAAGAAGAAAGCATGCCACTAACGGTATGTTTGACTAGTATCAAATTAAACGATCTGATTGCAAGGTGCCAAAGGATTAAAACAGCCAGACCAGATGAGTTCAATGCTCCGGACAAGCCCGGTATTTGCTTCCTGATAACCATCGGGGGCAGATACAGCAGGGATGGGAACTCCTGCCTCCCTCTCTTTCCATTCGTGATAGCACGTGTACATGTCTAGGAGAGGGATTCCCTTCCACTGCCAGGCAGCTCATACGCTGTTCACTGCAGGCAGCCAAACTTTTCCTTTACCTAACCCAAGTGAACATACTGACTACTCCTAAAATCGCCAAAGCTTGGTAGGAGACTACATTGCCTTAATAATGTATTTTCAGCAGGCATTGTGTGAGTTAATCTTGTTTGTAGCTCTGTAATTTTTAATTTTGTAGCCTTATTTTATGAGTTGTCCTTTTCTCCTTATGCCATGAAAATGTCTTTTATTTAGCAACTTCCAGAGAACCTTTTTGTGCTGATCACTGTTACACGGGGATCAGTCTTGCTGATGTGTGTAGTTTATTATCTTCAGAGTGAAATAAAAGCAGTTTTCAACTGTTGTTCCTCATCTAAAAGCTTCTAAGCATTCAGTTATTATTGTCTCCTTTTGCATTGTGGGGTTTTGTTTACTCTCTTATACAATTGTCCATGTGACTTTTCAGAGGTGCAAAGTATACTTACATGCTCCAGTGGAAGTTGCTCATTAATGCCTTAGGAGCTCAGTTTGATAATCTAGGACAAAGCGTAGCATTCAAGGGAAGGAGGAACTCAAATTTACACAATAGCATTAAAATACTTCTGCTATTACTCTAGACAGTTTCTTATGGAAAAAACACTTTTTTTAATTGGGACTACACATAAAAGAAATACTTTGCGCTGATCTATCTATAATAATGTTTAAAGTCGGGGGGGGCTTAAAGGGGGTTAATTAATCCGCACAGTACTACACTGAGCTACACTGATTCATTAGCAGCCACGTTGTTCAAAATGTAGTAAGCTCTGAACAAACAGCACTTGCTCATGAGTTAGCTACAGGTCAGGAGATTTGCCTGTTGGTACTTTAAAATGTATAAGTAGTATTACTGAGACTCTAAGGTATAATTTCTAGATACAGATGAATTTATTTCCTGCATAGCATCTTTGTAATACTGCAATTTGCTGTTCTTGACTCCTTTTATTGCTCTTCATTTCACTGTACAGGTTAATTCTTTTTTTCTTGTCATTTATACTGTGAACCAGATGGCTGCATCCTGACATACAAAACCTTCCTAAGGTGGGATTTCAGAAATTCTCAGTGTTTATCCAACTTTTTCTCCTGTCTGAGCAATGGACGTTACTACTGTACGTTTCTGTGGGAGCAGAGGGGCCAGTTCTGAATGTTGTAGAAAATCCTCTCAGACTGTCCACACGTGAAAATTACTCCCGGTTACAGTCGAGGGTGAGTTTATAGCCAGGAAGCCAATCCAGGATCATCCCATGTGTCAAACTCTGTTTTCTAGGATCAGTACAGTAACTCACAGACCCGTTCCAGAATGGTTCTTCTAGGATTGCTCTGCCAGCAAGCAAGCCCACGCCACTTTTGCTCCTGATAATGTGGGAGATTTGCAGACAGGAGGCTGTTTTCAGGAGACACCAGCACGGAAATGCTACTGCCACTGAAGCATTCAAGACTGCAGAGCCATCACAGTCAAAGCTTGTCACCCCTCTTCTGTCAGCCATCAGGCGCGTCTGCAAGGAGCCCCACCATGGGCCGAGGTAAAACCCAGTGCTACTGGCAGCAGCAGGAGACCTTGCTTGCTGAATGCTGTGAGTCAACTAAATGGCTATATAAATGGCATTCCTAGATGGAAAAATACGGTCTTTTAATAAAGTAAGAGGATTACTAGGGCTGCAGTATGTTCCCCTCTGATTTATTTGTGTGTTTGGTTTGACTGTTTTTTCTTTCTAATAGTCTCCACTCTTCTACAGTAGTAATACAAACCACTAATGTCTATTCGGAGATTATGACTTCAGATTGTACGGTTGGTAATAAGAGAAGGCATACAACTAAAAATGTGGTGTTCTTCTGTAAAAGTCTTAGTTTGTGTGTGGAACAGAATGCCAGTTGTTGGTAGAGCGTTCAAGTGGGATCATGACAATGACTAAACAAATAACTTCCGAATGTCTTGAGTGAGGTGGAAAGCTGATGTCCAATTCCCCTGACATATTTTTGGTTGAATCCCTCAAAGCTTGGCATGAGGGATCTTGAGTTCCTACAGATCTTGTAAAAAGTGGAGATGAGTTCTTTGTAGTCCATCAAGGTGTGAACACTCGACCCATTCTACAGCTCATTTCTTTGAAGGATCTTTATATTGAGCATTCACTGACATTACAGAGTCTGTAAATGTTTATGTGCCTCTCCTCTACATTTTCTGGAGTTTTGGTGGTGCAAAGCATTAGTAGTATCATCTTCAACAGTCTCCATCAAAAATCCCAAGCTTCAAAAATGGGAATTATTTTGCCCCTGCTTTTTCAAATAAATGGTCCGCTAAGAGCTTGAATGTGCGAGTGTTAAAACAAGCTGCCCTGTACTGTATTTGAAGTGAACAGGTTGAACAGGTCATTAATGTCCTGTGTTCATGTTTCTCATAAGCAAACATTGTTTTGAGAAACTGCGCGTCACGGAATCCCTGAAGATCGCTGGTGCACTTGACTAACGGCCCTTTACTTTTGCAAGTTTATTGGTTCTCTGTTGGTTGTTTTCCAGGGAACTGCAGAGTTGTTTGGGGATTTTTTTGTGGAAAGCTCTGGGGATTGCTCATTTTTCTTCCCCAAAGGCAGACTTGCATCATTTTTAAACAAGACTAGGATGTGTAGTAATAGACTTAAATTTTTTTTCTTGAGTGTATCATATGCAAATACCATGAATTTCCATGCCTTAAGCTAAATCAGAGGTTTAGAGGAAAAATTCTTAGTTAGCTTTATATTATGTCCCGATTTTCAGCTTTATCTGCTTAATCTTGAGAAGAGAAATCATGCCATGGTCTTCTCTACTCAACTTCCAGGCTGGCAGGTATGCAGCCCTAGGTGAAAGATAACTGTTCTTGGGGAATATCCGAATGCTACAGATCACTTTAAGTAGACACATCTCCGTCAAATCGAGACGATTGCAGGCATTTTAACTCCGGAATGAGAATATTGTAACACTTACCAGTGAACCTAGATTTGCACTAGGAGCACTTCGCTGCTGTGGCTGCACTGATAAACAGCATCAGGAAGCAATTCCACAAACCGTTCTCGTGGAAGGAGTGTAGCTCTTGCTTTGTCTCCATTACAGCGCAGTGTGCCAGCTGTGGTGGCTGACGCTTCTTTGTAGGGCTGCATGAGGCACCAGAGCAGAGAACTGGCAGAGTTAGAAATACCCTGGTGGCCTTTTGTCTTTCACAAGCACGATACCTGCATGCTTACCTATATTTGGCTTATTTGTGATCATCACCCACCATGTCAACACCCTGTTTTGACAAGGATCCCATTTTACGAGTTTCATGTTTTAAATTATTGTTGGGCTGTGCTTCTATGGAAAATCTCTGTCCCCTTTTAAAAATAAATTGACTGTAAATTCCACTTGCATTTAAGGAATTTCTTGGTTCCCTTTGAGCTCTCTTCTAAGCATGAAAGATGAAAATTCGAAGAAGTTGTATGACAAAGGAGAAGAGGGAGGTTTTTCAGTCACCAGGAAGATGATGAAGCTGAAAAGACAGGAGCCTGAGTATATAGGAGGTATGGAGTGGTATTGCTATTTTTAACATAGTACATTGGATGTAGATTGTGTTTTACAAAGCATTCAAAAGGCAAGTTCTTTCTCCGAGGAGCTTGCTCAGTGCCAAAGGAAACCAAAGGGGTGTCAATGTTTATCCACAAAGTAATCACACTCATGAATGCATACCAGGTCTAGTTCAGTTCAGTGACCATGTGATCTATTTCACTCTTACATAAAAGTTCGATGTGTTGCTCAGTGAGACACCTGTAGATCTAAATGTGTTTATCCTCATTCATGCCTAAGTTTTTGATGCCCATAATCTCTTTATCAGACTATTGTCTCGCTCAGCCTGGCATCTAGCCATGCATCCTCATTCTGCTCTTCCTGGTGATTGCCTTTCTGTGACGTTGTAAATTACCTGCACATAACCCAAGTCACTTAACGATATTTCTGTATTTTTTCCTGGATAGCAGCAGTTTCTTTCTGCACTGAGAACAGAAGTTGGGTGGTATCAGCGGTTATTTTTGCCACTGTATGCAAAATGATGCAAGAGACAGTACTTCTCATGCTTCGGAGAGCTTTATTTCTACATCAGAGCTTAGAATAGGGAAATATAGCTGAATGCGGGCAGATGTAATTTATACCCCATCTGAGTATAATGAGACGTGTAGACTGTCCAGCTGGAGGGCTATCTTTTACATATGCTATAATGTGGTAGTACTGCTTAACAGGACCACTGATAAAAGTACTGTAACTCCATCGCCGGAATCGGATGCAAGGCTTCAGTATGTTCCTTTCGGAAGATAACATTCCATTAGCAGTTTATATGTGCTGGAAATTTTTCTTAGGGGATGTGTAACTAGAAGGCCAAAATGCACTATGCACCAGCAATAACTGTTGTGCAGTTTCATGAAGGTTTTTTAGCTCAAGGATCCTGTAGTGACACGGTGGAGCTGCTGTGGAGTTTGCCACTTTGGTCATACATTTGGCCTTACAATCTTGTTGGGAAACGGGAATATCACTACTCACGAAGTGCCTTACACATTGGGGTTTTTGGGTCTTTCTTCCTTTCTGGGTGAGTTTTAGCAAATTCCTTTATTGTTCTAAATTGAATTTGTGAAAGAGAACTTACCATAGCGGGAGCCCTTTCTAATTACCTGCCAGCACACCGTAATAGGATTAATAGGTTGTGCTGGGTCTGTAGTCTTCACTCTTCCCAAACTGCTGTTATTGAAGCAAAAGTATCCTGGGGACCAGGCTGGCTATAAGGACTTTGATCCCATCACCAGAATATTCAAGTCATCTAGGTCCAACTAGATTTTTCCTTCAGATGGCCAATTAGAGGTCTGGTGCTTTTTGTTTAGATTGCTCAACCAGGATGTGGGAGATGTTGAATCATATCCCTTCTCTATCTAAAGGCATTATGAGCCCAAATTTGCTACTTTACAGGAAAGTCCCCCAACTCCTAAGAATAATCTTGGCCAAGATGTTTTCCAATCCCTCCTCTTAAAGCGAACCATTTTTTGTCAGAAAGGGAAGGTCAGGAGTCTGTGTGCCACCTCCGTGGGCTGACCTGGATTCCAGGTGATGTTTGCCCAAATACATAGTACAAGAAATTCGGCCCTTGGGCAGAAATAGAAAGTGATTCCCAGGGAGCGCTCTGAGCTGTTGGGTAAGCCTGGGCAGGGGTGAGAGCCTCGCTTCCTCCGTGGGCTTCCTTTTGGGAGGAAGAGCTGGTTTGTATGGTGAAACCCAGGAGGGTTGGGTGTCGGATCCTCCCTGGCAAAGGGTCCCGGCTGCCCGGGAGAGACGCCTGCTTTCTGAGGGAAAAAAGCTCCTCTCCCTGGAGTTTCTTACAGGCTGGTGCAAGAGCTCCTCATGCAACACATCAGCTCTCGCTTACCCCTTCCTCGGTGGGGCTCTGCCGGTGCCTGGCAGGGGAACACCGCGGCTCTGCCTGCCCCATTCAGGCGCTGCTCACTGTGAAGTCCCCTGGTATCACTCATCCCAAACGCAGAATGTACTCCGTTTCCCCCGCTGATGTTAAAAATACATGTGAAACCATAAGTTAAAAATAAAAACCAGAAGCAGTCTAGTTGAGCCGCTCTGATCCGAAACCGCCCCGGTTCTTCCCTATGCCTGAAGCTACATGCGACAATGGCAATTCCAGTGCGGAGAGGGAAGATGTTGAGTATCTCCCTTTGTACTTCAGCTCTGCAGCATCAAGTGTCACTCGCTGCTGCTCTTACTTTGTTCTTCTTCGTTGTTATTTATAAATGGTCAAATCTTGGGATTTCTATGGTCTACTTTTTTCTGATACTCCTTGTCTGGACTTGTCAAGATGAAGTGCTTAGACTTTCAAAACATGTCTACCTGAATGCAGCAAAGTGTATTCTCTTTATTCCCTGTGAATACAGTAACCATTGGCAAACATGAACAGAGAGCAAAGACTTTGGTCAGGCGCTTTTAAGAAAGAATAAATTAAACTTTTCTGTTTCATTTCACAGTATTTTCATTATGTGTTTGTAATAGCCTATGCAAAATTTCTGGTGTGAAGTTGGATATTTTATACATGTTGTAAAATTGCTACTTTCTAAAATTTTATTTTCTACTAATTTAAAAAAAAAAAAAGACTTTTCTGAAGTCATATAGAAGACATCCCTTGGAGACTGCTATGCAGTTATCAGCTACGTGTTATGTCTCTCATATAGCCTGGGTGCCACATGCCTGTTTAGTGAAATCTGCTGCTTTCTGCCTGACATTTAACATGTGGTTCCACAACTGTTACGAGCTGATATCAATGTGGGAAAGATGCTACCAAAAAGAATGTCACTGCCAGTCCATATTATGACTTCTGCCACGAGTCACTTTTTCTCACCACCTCCCATGTGTGTCAGCGCTGGCGTTTGAGCAGCTGTGTCAGACTGGGGAGAGGATCTAGTTGGAAACTAAGCCACCAAAGGAATGTAATAAAAAACAGTTTTCATCGGGATCCGTTCTGCGTTCTGAGTCACTGTGGATCTTGCCGAACGCTTGTGTCAGTATGATGGAGCCAGCTGCAATGCCTGAGTCCTAGGACTGTACCAATAACAAGTAATAAAAATCACTGTGGCTTTGTGTTGAACATGAAAAATGTTTTACCTCATCTCAAAATAACATTCACCTCTCACATCTCCAAAGCAGCATATACTCTTGAAACCAGATTAAAAAAATAGAAAGATTTAAGACATTGACATGTTAATCGCTTTTTATTAACAGACAAAGCTAGTAGCTAAATTCAATTTGAATTCATGAGCACTTCTGTCTCCCCACCTGCTTTCAGCTCCAAATTATGTTTTGGACATATTTGCTATTTCCTGAATGGTCTTTTTGGCCAGCCCTAGCCCCTTGCCCACGGAAAGCCATTGCACGTGTTTTATGCTGTTGTAACTCCACTGATTTTGACAGGACTCCTCTTGCCTGATGAAAGAGCAAAGAGAGCCAAGCTGAAGATTTTTGCAGCCGCAGACCACTGTCAGTGCACGCTTTGCCATCCGAATAAGTAAGTCCGTAGCTGACATTTTTTTCTACTAAGCGATGTAATGGGTTTGCAAGACCTTTTAGACTGCACATTTCATGAGCCCCTAACCTCTGGAAAGCAGAGCTTTTGAAAGGAGCATTGGCGTGTGGACAGACGGTGTAGCCAGTGCTCCCAGTGCTCTTGGGCCTACCGAGAACCTCTGCAGAATTGAAAGCCTGCAAACAGTCAGCAAAAATAGCTGATGTTTTCTGGCTTCTGACGATGCCAAGAAATGCATGGGAGGCTCCTTTAACATCTCTAGAATTCCATTACTTTTTGTTTTATGTTTCATAGCTTCCTTATTGTGTCCATATTGAGCAAATTTTTGTGTATTGTTTCAGAGAACTGGTCACAGGGGTAATGAAAATAACTGCTCCTCAAAAGGGAAAGATCAGTGTCACGCAGAGGGAAAGCTGTTTTAAAACTTTATCAGTGGTATGGTAAAATTACTGTAAGAGGGTGAACTCAATGGCAGCATTTCTATTGAATTAATTATGAACCTGGCACTGTCTTATATGTAAAAGGAAAGACAGACAAATGGATAAAGTGGGAAATGGCTTCTACCATCCCTCCTACTTTCTGTACAATTTGTTCTCTCTCTTCTGAGCCTCAGCTCCTTCTCATCAAGCTTTGAGAAAACTTTTCTAAAAGTAGTACCATTAGATCAAAGGCTAGCACAGTAAGAAATAGATCTAATTTTTTGAGCTACCACAAGGGAGAAAACGAGCCAGATCATATCAGAAAAGGAGGAACTACTGGTCCCAAACATTAGATGACATCTGCTTGAAATCCTTTGCTTGCCATTGACGCAGGACACTTCTTTGCCAGGGGACAAAGTCACTCTGCCTGTTCTCCCACTTCTTCCTTTGAGTTAGCCCCTTAAGCACTAGTGATCTTGACATAGCCTGGAGTAACAAGAAGAGTGTAATGAATAAATGTCACAAGGTATACGATGGGGCCATGGCATTTCATAAGTCCAGAATGAAGTCCCAGGTTTTCCAGAGTGACAAGCTTTTTGTTTTGAAATAAATTTTCTGTGGCCGTTTGCCAGAAGTGATACCTTTTTTCAAAGATTTTGAAATAGATTTTTTTTTTTTTAGTTTGAAAAAATTTAATTGGTTCAATAAGGGCCTTTTCCTGAATAGCTCCTCCTGACATCTGTAGAAGTCTGTAATTTCACAGTGCAATGTCTCTTGATACTCTTGAAGTTTGCTATTAATTTCCTACTGATACATACACTTTTTGTATCCTCAACCCCCCCCCATGTACTTAGGTTCTCTTTCGACAAAAAGCCTTTTCCCCAAAATCAGCTTTTGCCTAGGATGTTCCTTTGTGTGCATGTGGTAGGCTCCCTTTCAGTGTTTATACAGCATCACACTATGAAATATAGACAATTTCAGGTAGCCCTGACTTTGAACTAGACTGGAAAAGCCATGGGATGACATTTTCTTGGTTAGCATCTGAGAATATTTTCTTTTTTCCTGGTAAAGCACAGGTGAAGTCCTTTGGAGCAGCTTGTGCAGGTATTTATTCTACTTCTGCTCTTTCCTATTTTATTTTTCTTTTGCTTCTTGCTTTAGCACTTCTAACCTGCCATTCTCAAGCAAGAGTTTATCAGGAAGAAAAAGGTCACATGAAAAGCATCCTTATGTTACACTACAGCAAGCCACGGCTACTGTGCAGCCTTGCAAAAGAAATGTCAGTGACAGTTTTGCATTACCTTCATTTTCTTCCCTTCAGTGATCTGGAATGGTTTTAGTAAATCAGAAGTAATTTACATGAAATAGAAAATATTCCTTTTTATCTGGGAATGCTCTAAAAAATCAGGAGTGGCTCCTAGTGTCTCCAAGTTGCAGGGCAGCTGCAATAGCTGCTCAGCTTTCTTGTCTTGATCAGAAAGTGAATTAGAAATGAGAGTCTAGAATGTTTTTCTGCTAAAATTGGGCACATTTGAAGAGGTGGCTATTTACGAACTTACTGTATATTAGGTGGCATGTAACTGATCATTACAGGGGACCATCGGCTTGTGATGTCCCTTGCTCTGGAGCTTACTAGCAATGCTGCATGGATGATATAAATGTCCCGGGGCCAGGGACTGCTGGTGTGGGGGCCTGCCTGTGTAATGCCACAGGGCCTGGTCAGCACCGAACGCTGCCACAAAGCAGATAATTAAGAAGCCACAGTGACAGACGTTCTGAACCACAGCTCCCGTCATCTTGAATATCGTCCCCAGTGACGTAGCTGTCTTCTTCCTGGTGCAGAAAAGGAGCATAATTAGTTCAGCTATACTATCCTTACCTATACTATAGGCAGTATTTATACTATACTGTAGGATAGTCAGCTGTACTATGCATCAGCTGTACTGACAGTGACAGGAGCGAGGGGGAGCTGGAGCTGGTTAGCATTGGAATGCTGGAGGCATTCCCACCCCTTGGGTTCAAGCTCCCTCAAGCTGATTCACAGCAAAGCTGCCGAAAACAACATGGTGTTTTACAGACCCAGAGTGAGGAGGAATCAGCTCCTCTCTCCAATGTGGGACCAACAGCAACTCCACTTTGTAGAGGAGAAACTCTGGTAGAGGGATGGTCTCTAATGTAAATTTTAGCCTTGGCTCTGAAAGGAGCCACACAATGGCCTCGGGCACTTCACATGGCCTGGAATTGTTCTTAAATGTTCACCAAAGGGTCACGTTGTGAATGCTAGCTTGAGATATTTGTCTCTGTTCACATTTCCATTTCTCCAGCTCCTTTCACAGCGTTGTCTTAGGTGCGGAAGATCTGCAAATAGGTGCTTAGCCCCGTATTTCTGAGTAACCCTGTTGACACTGGTGGTGACACTATGCCCACACAGCAGTAAAACAGATGAGGATGTCCGTTGGACCAGGGCTCTGCTACGACAAAGCTTTTTTTAAGGTATGTTGTCTGAAGCCTTCAGCTTCAGCGCACATTTCCCAGCACACACGGAGCCGGCAGATGTAGTTACCTTTCTCTCAAGGCAGAATTTTATGCAACATGGCAGGAATATGTTAAATGTTTCCTGAAGATAAATGAAAGCTTTACAGGCTGAGCGAGAGCGCACCAGAAGAAAAAGGCATGTGATATCTTGGCATAAAACATCATGCTTAGGCAGAGTAAATAGTCGGTTTTACGTAAATAATGTAGTCTTATCCTATTACAAATAACCATTCTCATTTGCATGGTTTGCGTCATTTCTCTCTGCTGACTTATAACTTTCCAGTCTTCTGCATTATTTCTGCATTACAGTACTGATAAATGTAATTTTTGACGATTCATACCATGCAGGCACCATTTTTCCTAATTAAATAGTGGTGCCCACAAAATTTAGCTTTTAAGCTTAGTGTTCTTACCATTGAGCTGCAACAGAAGGTTGGGGTTAATGTTGTTGCC